CCCCCCCCCCCCCCACTGTTATAGCTTCTTTAGACGGGGCTTTCTGTCTCCAGAGGAAGGAGCGCTGAGCTCAGTTTTCCAACAGATCGGACGGACCTCTGTGCTCCCTTCCCCCTGGGCACACCGTGTGGGGGGAGCGCGGGCTGTACATCTTCGAGGGAGGGCTACGCATCATTGGGAGTTGGAAGATTTAAGCTAAAGTAATGGCAGTGTTGCTGATTTAAATAGGTTGACTGTGGATAAAGGTACCACTGCTTATTTTAAGGCCATCTTTGAAAATCCCAGATCAGGAAAAGAGCCTGTTAGCATTAGGCTTATATATTTGGAAAGAGGCTAAATCACATATCTAAGTTGTGAATTCCTGCACCGTTTGCAGTGCTGATGACCATGCGCTGGAAAGGAGCCTCTGGCGGTACTGACTGAGTGTGGCTCACGAAGGGAAAAGACCTTCCCAATGGGCAGGAAGATCAGTAATTCAGGGCTACCTACAGAGATGTGTAGTTTGTGGAAAACACTATTTCCTTGACAGGAGAGTCTACATTATTTTTCTAGAATAGTACTAGAGGCTGTCTTAAATGATTATCGGGTGAGGGAAACGTGCTAGATTATGTCGTTCATTCCAGTCCTTTATCTAAACCATCCCATGGCCGTGTCCACGCCACATATTCGTGACACCATGCATCATGCATTTATTTGCCTTTGAACGCTAAGCTAGAGTGGTTTGTGTCCACTGACTTCAATTGGTTGAAGCAACTTCTATTTTAAAGTTTGTTGAGGACATCAAAATGATGCTCTCTTACATGACCAAATAACGAATACTAGTGTTTCAGACACAATGGGAGCTTGCTCACTTTTATTCTGAAAATATTTCCCCTCCTCTAACACCAGGAGCCTTCACTCAGTACATGGGTAATAACTAGTACAGTTGGCTAACAAATACTATAGTGATACCATCCTTCTCCTAGGACCCTCTGAGCAAATATTAACTAGCTGCTTCCTGTCACTGCAGCAACCGTCTCCCGTGCTCGTACCTGTGGTGTGTTATAGGGCGCTCGTGGTGCTTTTGATACCGTTGCTGTAGTTATGGGTAAGGGTTCAAAGGGATGATTTTGGGGGTCCGTATGTTAACAATTGCCTGCGGACTGAACTCAATGGCATAATTATCCTTCTAGGGGTGCACTGATAAGGACTGCCTTGGCCGATACCGATAGCCAATTATTAACCAGGGGGCCCTGGCCAGAAGGCATAATTATCAGAGAACATTATTGACTACAACAGCCAAAAAAGGCCGATAAATTTGCCTTTTATCAGTGCTGACCCGATAGATAACAGATATATTGGTGCATCTCTAGTTCCTTCCCGTCCTGTGTCCCGCTAGTGAAATCTAAGTCCATCCAATGGATTTGTTTGCTGTGATCAGGAGGATCAGATGCAGGGAGCGATCAGTCTGTCCTGTGTACTGGAGCAGTGAGGCCAAGTGGGCTGTAGGATCTGGGACCATTTGTGGAAATTCAAGCCATCAAGGCATTGTGTCCTGGGCTGCTAGACCCAGGGCTGAGTGCTGCATCCCAAGACTTTTGGTTCCCCTGAGCATTACCCACGTGTTGGAGACAAGGGCAACCTTAGTCTGCTAGGAACAGATTCCTCCCATCAAATTAAGGGATTTTTAAATCGGATTTCTTCAGTGCATGTACATGAATTACTTGAGTCGATGTTTCGGGATCTGGCTCCCTGAGTCACGGTCACTCACTGACCAGCGGAGACTCAGCACGTATTGTTCATTTTGGTGTGTTAATCTGTGCTGGCCAGCCCGGCAGACTCAGCTGCTGTTATCCAGCTGGAATATTTTGTCTTGAGAACGGTAGGCCTTTTTGGGGCAGAAAAGGCCGTTTACAATGCCTTGCCCCAAGAAGGTCCTGGCTGGTTAGGGCTGTAGAAACAACAACAATATAAATGTTAAGCAACAATGCACATGGTACCCAGGACCCTCCATCGCTGGACAGGCTGCTAAAATTGCTAGCCGCTGGACAGTTTGCACGGCCCTGATACAGGCACAGAAGGGATTGCTCGAAGGGAAGGCTGCAGCCTTGGCTTGGGGCTTCCTTCCTTGCAGTGCTTGAAACGGCATGTCATTATCTGATTGAATCCTGGGTGGGTGCATTTGCTGGCCAGAAATAGGACTTTAAAAACACCTGCTTCCCCCAAAGCCCCTGATTGTTTCTCTGTTTTTCCTCCTCAGATGCCAGTATGTCACCCGACGCCATGAAGCGGAGTCACTGGTGTAATGTCGCCTACTGGGAGCACCGGACTCGTGTTGGACGCCTCTACACAGTGTATGAACAGTCCGTCAGTATATTTTATGACCTACCTCAAGGAAATGGCTTCTGCCTCGGACAGCTAAACCTGGAAAACAGGAGCGAGACTGTTAGAAGGACTCGAAGTAAAATCGGCTACGGGATTTTACTTAGCAAAGAGCCGGATGGCGTGTGGGCCTACAATCGCAGTGAGCACCCTATCTTCGTCAACTCCCCAACACTGGACATTCCCCATTGTCGGACTTTGATAGTGCGCAAGGTGATGCCTGGCTATTCGATAAAGGTGTTCGACTACGAGAAGTCTTGCCTCTTACAACACGCCACGGACCTGGATTATGCAGATGGGCCCTATGACCCAAACAGCGTTCGGATCAGCTTTGCAAAAGGCTGGGGGCCATGTTACTCGAGACAGTTTATCACGTCATGTCCTTGCTGGTTGGAGATACTACTCAGCAATAACCGATAACCATTGGCC